ATATTCAGTGATATGATATCTCCCCACTCCCACATTATTGAGAGTATTATAAAATCTATAGCAACTACATCATAACATCTTTCTAGAATGAATATATGTGTGTATAGATATATAGTATACATATATGGTAATATATATACATCTACATTTTAATCTATACATTTATCTGCATTTATCCATCATCTATATACGTATGTAATCTAATCTGTCACATTTAACACCTAACTACTTCAGTATATAATTTCCAAGAACAAGAACTTTCTCCTGCAAAATAATAACAACATTCACACTCAATGAATTATCAATACATTATTATCTAATATAATTTAAGTTTACCAGTTATACTAAAATATCTCTTTTAGCTTTTTTTTTTTTTTTTTGGTGGAATTTCTGTAGTCCTGTCAAGGAACAAGCTTTTAATTTGGTTATCTTGTTCTGTTAGTCCTCCTTTGTCATGAATGGTTTCTTTTAGTTTGTTTCACTTTAATATATTGATAGTTTTGAAGAGTCCAGTCCTCTTGTTATGTAAAATATTGCTCAATCTGGTTTTGTGTGAAAGTTTTCTTGACAATTAGATTCAAGTTATGTGTTTTTGGCAGGAAATTTACATAGGTAATGTCATATATGTGCCATTGCATCACATGTGCAGTCCACACTTTGTAAGCGTGTGTCTGCTAGGTCTCTCCATTGTTGGGGTTCTGTTTTTCATATGTAGTTAATAAGAAAAAGGCATAGTACTTTAAGACCTTGTGAATATTAGTTTCCCCAAAAATTTACCCAGTAGTTTTAAAGTTAATTAATGATCCTTGCCTGAATCTATGGTCCTAGATGAATGGCTACAGAAATGATTATTTTTCTACTTTTATCATTCCTTCTGTGTTTTTTTAGGTTGGATTCATCTATAATGAAGAGTTCCCCCATATATTTTAATTAAAAGAAACATATAGCATTTTTGTGATCAAACTCCTCAATAGATTTTAGTGTACTTGTTGATATCATCTCAGAAGTCATTTTCAATTAGATCAGACCTTCATTTAAAAAAACTCTATGAACAGATTCCAAATTGTTCTGACTCTTTAGAGCCAGCAGAGACTGCTATTTAAAAACCATCATCTGGAAGTCCTAGCCAGAGCAATCCAGCAAGAGAAAGAAAGAAACAGTATTCAAATAGGAAAAGAAGAAATCAAACTATCTTTCTTCACTGACGATATGCTTCTACACCTAGAAACCCCGAAAGACTCTGCCAAAAGGGCCCGTGGAAGTGATAAATGACTTCAGTAAAGTTTTAGTATACAAAATAAATGTACAAAAATCAATAGCATTTTTATATATCAGTAACATTCAAGCTGAGAGACAAATCAAGAACACAACCCTATTTACAACATCCACAAAAAATTAAATGACTAGGAATACATCTAACTAAGGAGGTGAGAGATCTCTGTAAGTAAAAGTACAAAACACTGCTGAAAGAAATCATAGATGACACAAATGGAAAAACATTTCATTCTCATGGATTGAAAGAATCAATATCGTTAAAATGGATATACTGCCCAAAGCAATTACAGATTCCATGCTATTCCTATCAGACTACCAGTGTTTCTTCTAAAATTCGTATGGAAACAAAAAGAGCCCAAATAGCCAAGGCAAACCTAAGCAAAAAGAACAAAGCTGGAGACTTCAAACTATGCTATTAGGTTACAGTAACCAAAATAGCATGGTATTGGTACAAAAACAGACACACAGACCAATGGAACAAAATAGAGAACCCAGAAATAAAGCTGCACACCTACAGCCCTCTGATCTTCGACAAAGCTGATAAAAAATGGGCAATGGGGAAAGACTCCCTATTCATAAATGGGATGGCAGGCTAGCCATATGCAGAATAAAACTGGACCCCTTCCTTTCACCATATGCAAGTATGAACTCAAGATGAATTAAAGTTTTAAGACATCGAACTAAAAGAATTGCAGAAGAAAACCTAGAAACACCATTCTGGACATTGGCCTTGGGAAAGAATTTATGAGTAAGTCCTCAAAAGCAATCACAATGAAAAAAAAAATCAGTATGTTAAGTAAAATTGATATGTTAATTTAGTTAAAAATGAAACAAAAGAGCTTCTGCATAACAAAAGAAACTATTAACAAAGTAAACAGACAACCTACAGAATGGGAGGAAATATCTGCAAGCTATGCATCCAACAAAGGTCTACTATCCTATGAGGTTATTAAACAATTGAACAAACAAAAAACAACGCTATTAAAAAGCAGGCAAAAGACATGAACAACACTTCTCAAAAGACATACAAGTGGCCAATAAACATATGAAAAAACTCTTCACATCACTAATCATCGGAGAAATGCAAATTAAAACCAAAAAAGACATACCATCTCACAACAGTCAGGATGGCTGTGATTAAAAAGTCAAAAAACAACGGATGCTGGCAAGGCTGTGGAGAAAAGGGAATACTTAATAGGCTCCTGGTGGGAATGCAAATTAGTTTACCTATTGTGGAAAGCAGTTTGGAGGTTTCTCAAAGAACTTAAACTACCATTCGATCTAGCAATCCTATTATATTTCCAAAAGAAAATAAATTATTTTACCAAAAAGACACATGCACTTGTATATTCATTATAGTGCAATTCACAATGGCAAGGGATTGGAATCAACCTAATGCCCATCAACAGTGTACTAGATAAAGAAAATGTGGCACAAATACACCAGGAAACACTATGCAGCCATAAAAAAGAATGAAATTTTGTCCTTTGCAGCAACATAGATGCAGCTGGAGGCCATTATCCCAAGTGAATTAATGCAGGAACAGAAAACCAAATATTGTATGTTTCACTTATAAGGGGGAGTTAAACATTGGTATTCATGGACATAAAGATGGCAACAACAGACACTGGGGACTACTAGTTGGGGGCTGAGGGGAGGAATGGTTGAAAAACTACCTGTTAGATACTGTGCTCTCTACTTGGGTGATGGAGTTATTTGTACCCCAAACCTCAGCATCACACAATATACGCATGTAACAGTTCTGCAGAAAAAAATCAACAAAGACAAAAACAAAAAACCCCAGTAATCCATGTGTGAGATGTGTGAAAACTGAAGCGATGAAATACAGCAGCAAGTGGGGATGTACACCAGGGTCCAAGCTTGATGATAAACATGACATTCAGAAGGCTGCCCCAGAATACTCAAATGCTCAGGACTTCAAATGCAGTTAATTGGAAGGCACTTTAGCAAAGTCATTTCCACTCGCCTTATATTCATCCTGCTTCTTACTAGGTCTGTCTGGCTGGGAATGTAACTTTTTCTTTCGACTTCAATTTTCTTATCTATTGATCAAAGAGCTTGAACTAGGTGATTTCCATCACTTCTTCCCACTCTTTAACTTCTTTATAACTTAGTTTATCTGTTTTGTTATTTCCAGGGCACTACCATAATAACATCACTGACTTCTGTGCTGCATAATGACAAAGAATTCCCTAACCCAGAGATGTTTGACCCTGGCCACTTTCTGGATAAGAGTGGCAACTTTAAGAAAAGTGACTACTTCATGCCTTTTTCAACAGGTAATATTCACTTCCATCTGTCCTTCAGGGGACATGATACCTTTTTGGGATCTGTTGACTCTTACATGGTACCTCCTTTGGGGTTTGGCTGAATTACTTTGCAGATCATTAGCACCATTCCCTATGCCCATGCAATTTCCCTGCTGATGAACATCCCCATTATTGGGTCAGATTTGTGGGGCTTTGGGGAGCTGATCCAGTTTTTCAAACTGAGAAGGCTAGAGTGTAGGTTAATTTAATTCTGTCCCTAGATACATCATGGAGCTGCCCAGGAGTTCCTCTTAATGAGTGACACTCATTAAGACTTTTCTCATCTGCCATGAGAAAGGTATCTAATTCCATGACTTTGAATATCTCCCCTGCTGTGTCCCTCACTCACTAGACTGAGCTCTGGAGATACAAGTACCTGAGAGCAGAGAATGGGCTCTTAAGAAGCTCATTCCTGACTTAGAGAAGTAGACAAGTAAACAGATCATTGTAGTCTAGTAGGAGGAGGGCTGAGAGAGGGGAAATCACAGGATGTTGGAGAGCTCAGCAGGAAAAGCTGCCTGCTTCCTGCTCATTCATAGGCCATAACACTCCCAAGAGGAAGGAAACTTAAGCTGCCTCATTGGAGCCAGACGCAGGACAAGAAGAGAAGGCAGGGCACTTTTACAGAGGTAATGGACCACAGTAGCAGGACATTTTCTGTAGATCTGGGGGGTCAGAACCTGCCAACAAATTTCAGGGTTAGGAAAACCCTGGGAATGTGGAAGGCTAGTTTGCAATGATTTCAGAGCACCTGATCTCCTTCCACTCATGATCATATATCTTGGATATTCAGTCTCTACAGCTAAAGTGTATGGTGAGTCTGTGGACATAGAGTTCCTTTCATTTTTTTCTAAGGCTTTTGATCCCTGCTTTGGATCTGGCACTGTATACACTAACATGTCAAGAACTGAGACCTTCTTTTAAGGATCTCATGTTTTAGCAGGATAGAAAAATAAATACCCAGAGAATAAAATTCCAGGTGATCCATGCTCCAGGGGAAGCAGGAATATGATGAGGAAACCTAGTGAGGGTGAGTTTCTATTGACTAGGGATCACAGAAATTATAAAGAGGAAATTACATGGGACATAAATTCTGAAGGAAGACTAAGAGTAGTGCTTTCTAGACAGATGGGACAGCAAGAGATAAAGCTTGAAACTTCATGGTGTGTTGGAGATTGATGAAAAATGGATATGCCTAGAGCTGAGAGTGGAGATGAAAAATGGAAGGAGCGATATAGAATATTAGACTGGAAACAAAATGTGAAGAGTCACGTCAAGCCATTTGGCCTTTATCCCATAGGACAGATGAGTGTCGTTTAAATTTTTTTTTTTTTAGTTGGAGTTTCACTCTTGTTTCCCAGACAGGAGTGCAATGGTGTGAACTCAGCTTATCACAACCTGCACCTCCCAGGTTCAAGTGATTCTTCTGCCTCAGTCTCCTGAGCAGCTGGGATTACAGGCCTGCACCACCACGCCTGACTAATTTTTTGTATTTTTAGTAGAGATGGAGTTTCCCAATATTTGTCAGGCTGGTTTCAAACTCCTGTCCTCAGGTGATCCACCCACCTTGGCATCCAAAGTGCTGGGATTATAGCTATGAGCCAGTGCACCTGGCCTGTTTAAAGTTTAAAAGTGAGTGTGACATGTTTAGACATATGCTTTTGAAAGTACACTAGGAAAAAAAATATTTGGCTAAATATTATGCCAGAGGTACAAAGAGGAACACAGTATATGAGCCTTCTCCTTTTAGCCCTTCCTTGTGAGTGCATTTCTAGAAAAAGACTGATGGAAACTTATGGTGTCAAAAGAGCAGTTATAACATGGGAATACTTAGTGAAGTGCGTAGCATAGAGCTGATACTCCACAAATATTTGTTGAGTGAAAGGTGCCTAGTAAAATAAGATACTAAGTAGATAGCAAGTATGTCCATTTTTCTGTCTTTTTGTGTATCCAACTATCCTTCCAGCCATTCTGTCTTCGATCCATCCATCTATTTAATAATTTATCAAATAGTTACTGCATACTTTTTGTGACTGTTCATGACATAATGTTCAAGGAAAAAATCTTCTATGTCTGTTATTTTCAGGAAAACGGATGTGTGTGGGAGAGGGCCTGGCTCGCATGGAGCTGTTTTTGTTCCTGACCACCATTTTGCAGAACTTTAACCTGAAGTCTCAGGTTGACCCAAAGGACATTGACATCACCCCCATTGCCAATGCATTTGGTCGTGTGCCACCCTTGTACCAGCTCTGCTTCATTCCGGTCTGAGGAAGGACAGACAATCTGGCTGCTGCTGTCATCTATAATTCTCCCTTATTAGGACCATTGTCCTTTTCCTTCCCACTATTAGGGATATCTTCTCTGACTAGTCAACCCACATCTTCCCAGTGCCTCAAGATCCAGTGAACATCCAATCTCCATTAAAGAGTTTCATGGGTCACTGCATAAATATGTCTGCTATTCTCCATACTCTGTAACACTTGTATTGACCATCACATATGCTAATACCAATCTACTGCTGAGTTGTTAATGTGTTATCACTATAAAACAGAAAAATGATTAATAAATGACAATTCAGAGCCATTTCTTCTCTGCATGTTCTAGATAAAATGGATTATTATTTGCTGGGTCAGTTCTTAGATTTATTTTTTTTTAATTAAAAAAATTTTTTTTTATTGTACTTTAGGTTCTGGGGTACATGTGCAGATCATGCAGGATTGTTGCATAGGTACATACATGGCAAGGTAGATTGTTGTCTTTATCTCCCTGTCACCTATATCTTCCCCATGTTATCCCTTCCCAACCTCCCCATCCCCTGCTCTCCCTCCCCTAGTGCCCCCCAACAGACCCCAGTGTGTGATGCTCCCCTCCCTATGTCCATGTGTTCTCATTGTTCAACACCCGATGAGTGAGAACATGTAGTGTTTTTCTGTTCTTGTTTGTTTGCTGAGAATGATGGTTTCCAGATTCATCCATGTTCCTACAAAGGACATGAACTCATCGTTTTTTTATGGCTGCATAGTATTACATGGTGTATATGTGCCACATTTTCCCTGTCCAGTCTATCATTGATGGACATTTGGGTTAGTTCCAGGTCTTTGCTATCATAAACAGTGCCACAATGAACACACGTGTGCATGTTTCTTTATAATAGAATGATTTGTAATCCTTTGGGTATATACCAAGTAATGGGATTGCTGGGTCAAATGGAATTTCTATTTCTAGATCCTTGGGGACTCGTCACACTGTCTTCCACAATGGTTGAACTAATTTACACTACCACCAACAGTGTAAAAGTTTTCCTTTTTCTCCACATCCTCTCCAGCATCTGTTGTCTAGATTTTTTTAATGATTGCCATTCAAACTGGAGTGAGACGGTATCTCAATGTGGCTTTGATTTGCATTTCTCTAATGACCAGTGATGATGTGCATTTTTTTATATGTTTCTTGGCCTCATAAATGTCTTCTTTTGAAAACTGTCTGTTCACATCCTTGGCCCACTTTTGAATGAGTTTGGTTTTTTCTTGTAAATCTTTTATAGTTCTTTGTAAATTCTGGATATCAGCTCTTTGTCAGATGGATAGATTGCAAATTTGTTTTCCTATTCTGTTGGTAGCCAGGTTACCCTAATGATTGTTTCTTTTGCTGTGCAGAAACTCTGGAGTTTGATTAGATCCCATTTGTCTATTTTGGCTTTTGTTGCCAATATTTTTGGTGTTTTAGTCATGAAGTCCCTGCCTATGCCTATGTCTTGAATGGTTTTGCATAGGTTTTCTTCTAGGGTTTTTATGGTGTTAGATCTTATGTTTAAGTCTTTAAGCCATCTGGAGTTAATTTTAGTGTAAGGTGTCAGGAAGGGGTCCAGTTTCTGCTTTCTGCACATGGCTAGCCAGCTTTCCAAACACCATTTATTTAACAGGGAATCCTTTCCCCATTGCTTGTTTTTGTCAGGTTTGTCAAAGATCGGATGGTTGTAGATATGTGGTGTTGTCTCCGAGGCCTCTATTCTGTTCCATTTGTCTATATTTCTGTTTTGATACTAGTACCATGCTGTTTTGATTACTGTAGCCTTGTAGTATAGTTTGAAGTCCAGTAGTGTGATGCCTCCAGCTTTGTTCTTTTTGCTTAAGATTGTCTTGGCTATGCAGGCTCTCTTTTGGTTCCATATGGAGTTTAAGATGGTTTTTTCTCCAGTTCTGTGAAGATCATATGCATCTTGATGGGGATAGTGTTGAATCTATAAATTACTTTGGACAGTATGGCCATTTTCATATTAATTCTTCCTAACCATGAGGATGGAATGTTTTTCCATCTGTTTGTGTCCTCTCTTATTTTCTAGAGCAGTGGGTTGCAGTTCTCCTTGAAGAGGTCCTTTGTTTCCTTTGTTAGTTGTATTCCTAGGTATTTTATTTTCTTTGTAGCAATTGTGAATGGGAGTTAGCTCTTGATTTGGCTGTTTGTCTGTTATTGGTGTATAGGAATGCTTGCGATTTTTGCATATTGATTTTGTATCCTGAGACTTTGCTGAAGTTGCTTATCAGTTTCAGGAGATTCTGGGCTGAGATTATAGGGTTTTCCAAATATATAATCCTGTCATGTGCAAATAGAGACCATTTGACTTCCTCCTTTCCTAACTGAATATCCTTTATTTCTTTTTTTTTGCCCAATTGCTCTGGCTAGAACTTCCAATACTATATTGAATAGGAGTGGTGAGAGAGGGCATCCTTGTTTAGTGCCAGATTTCAAAGGGAATACTTCCATTTTTTGCCCATTCAGTATGATATTGGCTGTGGGTTTGTCATAAATAGCTTTTATTATTTTGAGATATATTCCATTGATACCTAGTTTATTAAGAGTTTTTAGCATAAAGGACTGTTGAATTTTGTCAAAGGCCTTCTCTGCATGTATTGAGATAATCATGTGGTTTTGTCTTTGTTTTTCTTTATGTGGTGGTTTACATTTATAGATTTGTGTATGTTGAACCAACCTTGCATCCCTGTGATGAAGCCTACTTGATCTTGATGGATAAGCTTTTTGATATGCTGTTGCAATCAGTTTGCCAGTATTTTATTGAAGGTTTTTGCATCTGTGTTCATCACCGATATCGGCCTGAAGTTTTCCTTTCTTATTGAGTTTCTGCTGGGTTTTGGTATCAGGATGATATCACCCTCATAAAATGACTTGGGAAGGATTACCTCCTTTGGGATTGTTTGGAATAGTTTCTGAAGGAGTGGTACCTGCTCATCTTTGTACGTCTGGTAGAATTTGGCTATGAACATATCTGGACCTGGGCTTTTTTTCGTTGGTATGCTATTAATTGCTGCCTCAATTCAGCTCTTGTTATTGGTTTATTCAGGGTTTCAACTTCTTCCTGGTTTAATCTTGGGAGGATGCAGGTGTCCAGGAATTTAACCATTTCTTCCAGATTTACTGGTTTATGTGCATAGAGTTGTTTGTAGTAATCTCTGATGGTAGTATTTCTGTAGAATTGGTGGTATCTCCTTTATCATTTTTTATTGCATCTATTTGATTCCTCTCTCTTTTTTATTAATCTGGCTAGCAGTCTGTGTATTTTATTGATCTTTTCAAAAAACCAGCTCCTGGATTTATTGATTTTTTGAAGGTTTTTTGTTTGTTTGTTTGTTTGTGTGTGTGTGTGTGTCTCTATCTCATTCAGTTCTGCTCTGATCTTAGTTATTTCTTGTCTTCTGCTAGCTTTTGAGTTTTTTTGATCTTGCTTCTCTAGCTCTTTCAATTTTGATGATAGGGTGTCGATTACAGATCTTTCCACACTTCTCTTGTGGGCATTTATTGCTATAAATATAAAATGCTAAATTTATAGCATTTATTGCTATAAATATACATCGTGTCTTTATTCTCTTTGGTTTTGAAGAATGTATTTATTTCTGCCTTCATTTCATTGTTTATCCAGTTGACATTCAGGAGCCAGTTGTTCAGTTTCCATGAAGTTGTGCTGTTCTGAGTTAGTTTCTTAATCTGAGTTCTAATTTGATTGCCCTGTGGTCTGAGAGACTGTTTGTTATGATTTCCGTTCTTTTGCATTTGCTGAGGAGTGATTTACTTCCAATTATGTGGTTAATTTTAGAGTAGGTGCAATGTGGTGCTGAGAATGTATATTCTATGGATTTGGGGTGGAGAATTCTGTAGATGTCTATTAGGTCTGCTTGGTCCAGATCTGAGTTTAAGCATTGGATATCCTTGTTAATTTTCTGTCTCATTGATCTGTCTAATATGGACAGTGGAGTGTTAAAGTCTCCCACTATTATTGTGTGGGAGTCTAAGTCTCTTTATAGGTCATTAATAACTTATTTTATGTATTTGGGTGCTCCTGTATTGGGTGGGTATTTGTTTAGGATCTTTAGGTCTTCTTACTGCATTGATCCTTTTATCATTATGTAATGCCCTTCTTTGTCTCTTTTGATCTTTGTTGGTTTAAAGCCCATTTTATCAGAGACTAGGATTGCAACTCCTGCTTTTTCTTGCTCTCCATTTGCTTGGCAAATCTTCCTCCATCCCTTTATTTTTAGTCTATGTGTCCTTCGCTGTGAGATGCGTTTCCTGAATATAGCACATCACATCAATGGGTCTTGATTTTTATCCAATTTGCCAGTCTGTGTCTTTTGATTGGGGCATTTAGTCCACTTATATTTAAGGTTAATATTGTTATGTGTGAATTTGATCCTGCCATTTTGATGCTGGCTGCTTGTTTTGCCTGTTAATGCAGTTTCTTCATTGTGTTGATTGTCTTTACAATTTGGTACATTTTTGGAGTGGCTGGTACTGGTTGCTCCTTTCTGTGTTTAGTGGTTCTTTCAGGAGCTCTTGAAAGGCAGGCCTGGTGGTGACAAAATCTCTCAGTAATTGCTTGTCCATAAAGGATTTTATTTCTCCTTTGTTTATGAAGCTTAGTTTGGCTGGAAATGAAATTCTAGGTTGAAAATTATTTTCTTTAAGGATGTTGAATATTGGCTCCCACTCTCTTTTGGCTTGTAGGGTTTTGCCAAGAGATCTGCTGTGAGTCTGATGGGCTCCCCTTTGTGGGTAACCCAACCTTTCTATCTGGCTTCCCTTAGCATTTTTTCATTTCAACCCTGGTGAATCTGATGATTATGTGTCTTGGGGTTGCTCTTGAGGAATGTCTTTTTGGTTTTCTCTGTATTTCCTGGACTTGAATGTTGGCCTGCCTTGCTAGGTTGGGGAAGTTCTCCTGGATAATATCCTGAAGAATGTTTTCCAGCTTGGAAACACTCCCCATCACAATCAGGTACACCTATCAAATGTAGATTAGGTCTTTTCACATAATCCCATACTTCCTGCAGGCTTTGTTCATTTCTTTTCACTCTTTTTTTGTCTAATCTTGCCTTCTCATTTCATTTCATTGAGTTGGTCTTCAATCTCTGATATCCTTTCTTCTGCTTGGTCGATTCATGTACTGAAAGTTGTGTATGCTTTGTGAAGTTCTTGTGTTGTGTTTTTCATCTCCATCAAGTCATTTGTGTTCTTCTCTAAGCTGGTTATTCTAGTTAGCATCTCATCTAATTTTTTTTCAAGATCCTTAGTTTCTTTGTATTGGGTTAGAATATGTTCTTTTAGCTCAGAGAAGTTTGTTATTACATACCTTCTGAAGCCTGCTTCTGTCAATTCATCAGA